GACTGTGTGCGGGCTTATGCAGTTTCCAGTTGTTTCTTCAAGCCTGGCCTGTTACTGACTCTGTCATATACCCCCCAAAAAGAAACGCAGGCCCCTGTAGTTGACCCCCTGGCATGCCCCAGAATGTGCTTTATGCCAGCACGTCAGCGCGTGTTCCCAGACCCTACGCAGAGACCCTCACTTCTACCTTACTGTTGCGGTGCGCTGCTTTTTTCACATCATATTTTGGGTATTTATTTACGCAATATGGGAGAAGGGTTGAAGGTTTCTGACAGAACGAGCCTGTTACCTGGCAACTTGCTTCGGTCCCTCCTTAAACCCTAGACTTAAAGAAAACCTTACGATCCTAAACCCTAAACAGATGCAGGAAGTTCGCGATGTTCTGCTGGGAAGAGACTCCTTCTGCAGCCCGGCGACTGAAAGTCATAGACTGCGGCCAAGAAACCCTCAGGGTTTAGGGTTTAGGGTTTAGGGTTCAGGGTTCAGGGTTCAGGGATTAGGGTATAGGGCTGTAAGGGTTTAGGGTTAAGGGTTCAGGGCTGTAAGGGTTTAGGGTTAAGGAGGCAAATCTTAAGCGCCAAGCCCGCGGTTCCCTGGATAAGCTAGAGCCTGAAGCCACTAGAGGGCCAAATATCGAAACTGAAATCCTAAGCAAGTCTTCACGGTTTAGGGTTTAGGGTTTAGGGTTTAGGGGTTAGGGTTTAGGGTTTAGGGTAGAGTCTTCAAAGACTGCATATAAGAACCCTGGTAGAACCCTCCAGGTACTCCTATAAGAGCCCTTATCGAACCGTGAAAGAATCTCTGTAACAGTTCAGGGTTTAGGGTTTAGGGCAGTCCTGGCAGAACACCTACTACTACTACTACTACTACTACTACTACTACTACTACTCTTCAAGAGCTCTTCTCGAACCGAAGAGGAACCCCTGTAAGAACTTCCGACGAGCCCTTGTAGAACCTGTGAAGATTTCCTGTACAGACGGACCTAGGGTTTAGGATTTAGGAAACTTAAACTCCTTGATGGAACCTTCACGAGAACCCTCATGAAACCCTAAACCCTAAACCTAAACCCTAAACTAAACCCTAAACCCTAAACCCTAAACCCCTAAACCCCAAGCCCATTTTCTGACAAGGCAAAGCCTGGTTCTTCCAGGCCCAGGGCGAGGACGTGCCAAGACAGCTCGAGCCATACTTTCAACAGGCCGTCTGGGTTTCGGGCTTTCGCATCTTTCAGGTTTTAAGGCTTTAGGGTTTTAGGGTCTGCATGAATTAAATATAGGTTTATAGGTTTCAGGGTTTAGTGTTTAGGGCTCTGTAGGGCTTCAGGGCTTTTCGGGTTTGGGGTTCTTGAGCTTTAGGGTTGAGTTGTAGATTCAGGGATTCGTAGGGATCGTAGGGGTTTATAGTAAGCTCCAAAAGCTGGAAACCGGATTAAGGATTAAGGTTTAGGGTTTAGGGTTTAGGTCCTAATATATACTTTGCTCTTAAGGATTGCGTCGGATTTTGATCCTCGGCTTGTCGGACGCTGGTGACATCTGCGCTCTTGGCGATGCAACCCCAGGTGCAACGTCTCCGACAGAACTGACGGACAAGCCCAAGCTGCAGATTTGGGTTGAGCCTGCGAACTTGCGCGCCCTACGGAACCAAAGAGGTGACCATTGCACTTGCCCAGATGCAACTGGGCAGATGGAGTGCGCGACTCAATTGTTTCGAGCACAGTGAGGCCTCTGAGGTGATCCGCGCACGTGCATTGAATCCTCTCACATCATTCTACCAGAAATGAAATGGATTGTAGCGTAATTAGATTGGCAAGCTTTGTGACTTTTGCGTGACGGGTTGGAACCTGCGGTTAGGATTCAGGCTATTGGGTTTCCAACTTTTGGGCTTCTACTATAGGGCATCAGGATTTCAGGCGTTTAGGTTTTATGGCTTTGAGGCCTCTCACACTGCGACATAGCAAGGGAGGCTTTGTGCTCCTTCCCCCCTTGCTCTACAGTTGCTTCCTTTAGGGTGGTTTGGGTTTAGTTTTGAGATTTAGGGTTCAAGGTTTAGGATTAGTGTAGGGCTGTTCGGCTTTAGGATTAGTTTAGGGCTGTTCGGGTTTCGCTCGTTCAGGATTCAGGGTCTACAGGAACCACCACAGGGTCTAACCTTCCGGTACTTGGGTACAGGTAGGTTCGTGTTTCGGAGTGTGAGATTCTCAGGTGCGTGTTCCCTGGGGCGCAAGGTAGGAACAGCAGCCCAGACCCTGGCCCTAAGCTGTGAACCATCCTACCTTAAGAACCCCAAACCTGCTTTTCTGTAGTGTCCCTATAAATCCCATATTAGGGTTTATAATAAGAACCTACAAAAAAGTTGAACACCAGAGTCCCTGTGGCATTCGTCCGAAAGGCTTGCCACAACCTCCCTGCCTGCTCGTACCTCGGACAAACCCTAAACCCTAAACCCTAAGCCCTTTTAACATCCTTGTTGGGACCCTTGGTAGAACCCGTCTTAGAAGTCTTGTAGAACCCTATAAACTCTTACGCCTAAACCCTACAACCGACGACTCCAAGGCTCAAGGCATAAAGCGCCAAGCGAAACAGCCCGAAACTAAAGCATGCCTGGTAGAATTAGGGGGGGAGGTTAGGGGCTAGGGGGTTAATTTTGAAGCTTGCAAAATTACCAGTACTATTCCCTAGGGACCTCAGTCGAAGTGCGGTGCAATACTATCCAAAACCCTACTCTAGTCTGTTAAGGCCGCAAAGTTGGATTTACAGGTCGCTGATTTGCACATGGCGATCTGCATGGTTCCGGAGCTTGTGTCACGGCTGATATTAACGGGTTCTTTGGTTCTATATATGGTACAGTGAGGGTTCTCTTTGAGGGTTCTGTAATTGTAAGACATTATAAGGGTTCTATAGATGTTACTATAAGGCTGCTGCAAAAGGTTCTGTTAGGATCAGTGATCGATGTTGGTACTGATGGCTTTGGTTTTGCTAGGACAGCCAGTCAGCAATGCAGAAAGTGATGAAGAAACCCTCGTCCTGGAACCCCACGAGATTAGGACCCATATTTAAGAACCCTTAAAAAAGACCCAAGGTTTCTTAATCAGGTTCCTTTACTTAGCTCTAAGCCCAATCCTAAAATCCCAAATCCCTAGACCCAGGGTTTCGGAGTGGGTTTCAGTGGTTTCAGGATGTGCGCCTGGTGTGCATTGCTAGTATATTCATGTATAGCGGTATACCATATGGCATTCACATTGCCACCGCATAACGATACAAACATAATTCTCGTATACATAAACAAATAAACCAACACGTGTGTGTGTATACATATATATATATATATGTGTATATACATATATAGATATGTGTATATATATATATATGCACACACACACACGTTTAACCCACCCAGAATTGGCTCGTTGCGGCCCCCCCTTGTGGATGAGACTTCATGAGACTTCCAAACAAACGCCTCCGCGCTGCAACGCCAAACGGACATTACAGTTCAGAGTTGAAGACCGAGCTAAAACCCTAAAACGACCCTAAACCCTAAACCCTAAACCGACCCTCAACCGTTCCTTAGCCCTATAAACCCTTCCTCTTTAGGGTTCCTTATCGATGAATCCCAGCCTAAACCTTCAGCCCCCAGAGCCCTGAACTAAAGCCTGAAACAAGCCTCAAAGGCAACCTAAACCTCGACGCCTAAGCCAAAGACCCATTAGACCCTGAGCCCTAACCCCCAAACCCTAAACCCCCCAACCCCAAACCCCACACCCCAAGCCTTAATATAGAAGCCTAATTACTTACCAACAGTATTGCTTAGGGTTCCTTATCATAACTATACCATATAGGGGCCCAGGACCCTATTCTTATCATTACGGCCCCCTATCGTAAACCCCTGAACCCTGAATCCCGAACCCCAAATGAGCGGCTCTCTTCAGGATTTGGGTTATCGCCCTCGCAATTCGCTGGAGCCGTGGTTTGTGGGTTCCCACAGGGTCCGTGTACTCATAGGGTTCCTTCAAGGGTTTTCTTCAGGGGTACTGTAGGGTTCTAATTATCATAGGGTCCCCTTTAAGGGCGGCAGAAGGTTTTATGGTAGGGTTACTCTATCATTGCTCTTTAGGGTACCATAAGGATGCGGTAAGGGTTCTACAACGTCTAGGGTATGAGGCTCCATGTATTCATGGACGATGTACTTTGGTGTTAACGTAGCCCCTATGTATGTACTTTGTGGCCTCCGTATATAACCCTAAACCCTAAACCCCAAACCCTCAAGCTCAACGGCTCAAGACTTCAGAACCAGCGTATATCAGCGTCGTCAGACCAGGATGGTTCCTCAGAAGAAGCCGAGCGCGCAGGGCCACGCACGCGTCCGCAAAGCCGTCAAGAAACACGCCATGACCCGGAACCATTTCCAAGAGGTTCTGGAGAAGGCCGGGGGCATCCAGGCTGTACGGGCAAGGAGGGAAAACAAGGTGGCCAAAGAGAGGTTAGCCCCATGAAGCCAGATCGTGGACTTTACTGGCACTTCTACTCTGAGGAGAGCACCGGCAAGAAGAAACTGTTCTCATTGACCTGCAAGCCCGGCGTGCCGTTTGCCGTTGCTCTCGAGGCACACTGGGACGCGTACCATCTCTTGCAGACATCTGGGGAGGAGATCTTTGTGGAGGACTTGAAGCACATAGGGCATGCCAAGATCTTCCAAAGGGTTGCCCTGGCGAAGCTGAAGCGCGCTGCCGAACTGCCAAAGCTGACCAGCCGGGACCTGGAGGTGGCTCAGATAGAAAACTGGCAGCCGCAAAGGCGTCAGTTCTCTGTGCCCTCCGCCTTTGAACAAATCCAGCCGGAGGTGAAGTGGCTGAAACCTGGGAGGCATCACTCCAGGTTGCCGCTTCCTCCAATGTGACCTATGTATCAAGGCCGCAGGTTGGCAGGCCACCCTGCATCCAGGCACTTGTCCAGACGGCCGTGTGGCAAGACACTGGTCACACTTGAAGCCAAGGATGCTGCAAGGTCACGGTGCTGGCGGGAAAGCTCGCGACCTTTTTGGCCGGCGCTTGGAATGTGCTCCTGAAGCGTCAAGACGTCTACCGGGCATTTGAGCGGAGGTCGCAAGACCAGTTGGGCCTCTTCGAAAGGCTGTACGAGTTGTCGTACGAGGAGCTCTGCCCAGGAGATGAAGGGGTATCAGATCTCAACGAGGAGCTTGACAAGCATATTCAGCCCAGCGATGTCAAGCTTAAGACGAAGAAACAGCTCCCATATGCCCTTCGTGATGCTGCTGTCGCCACGCGAGCCCTTGAAGGGTTGCTGCTGGGTCTTCTCGAGAAGGAGCCTGGCATAGGCAAGCCTGTCGTGGGTAGACTCAAGTCGTCACTCCGAATTGTAGAGAAGGCCGCTGCCAGGGGCAAATGGCCCGATGTGTCGGATGTGCTCGACATGGCCCGTGCGTCACTGGTGACTGCTTCGCACCAGGGCATTTTGGTGGCTTACAAGACGATCAGGGACAGTAAGGAAGTGAAGATTCTCAAAGTCAAGAACCGCTTCCGCCCTGATGCCGCCAAAAACGGGTGGCGAGATGTCAACCTCATCCTCGAGTTCACGACTGGGTCTGCGGAAGGTATGCTTGCAGAGCTACAACTGCAGCTGAAGCTCTTACACGATGAAGAGAACCGCAGGGGAAACACGACGGTGGAATTCGAAGTGGAGGAAGAGGAGGACGATGATGACGAGTCCATGTGGATGCAGAGTTGGAGGCCAGGGACAAGCAGGTGAACAGACGGGTGGCGGAGCGGCTTCTGGACTGGTTGTCGCACAGAGGGAGTAACGAAGCGGAAGGGTACTTCCTGGGGCACATGCAGGGGCGCATCGCTTCCCTCACCTCGCTCCTTGTGACCTTCGTTGGGCACCAGAACTCTGAAGAATGGGGCCAAGCGACGAATGACGAGAGCAATTATGCCTTGGCATGGACTCAAAGACTTCAGGCGTACATACCTTGCCACCCGCGGGGTCACGACAGGCCCGTGGGCTACTCCCGCGCAGGCAGCCTGTTATGCTGATTGGCAAGCCGGTCCCGATTGACTCCGAGAATGAGAGCTGCCAGCAAATCCATGGCAACAATCCAGCAGCACAGCTGGACAAGGCCAATGAGTTGGATGACTCCTCGGGGGAGGCTTCACAAGTGAACCAACCGGAAGCCGCCCGTCATCATGGTCGAGATCCAGGATGCATCGGGGGCGGCGCCTATGCGAACACTTCGCGTCCCCATTGACTCGAGTGGTGAGATCCGGTTGCGGCTTAGGGCATGGATGGAGGAGGAAGGAGATCAGGATGGGATCCCGACTCAGTTGGTTGGCGAGGCACGTTGATCGACTCGGCTCGATTCGGGTTAGGGGGACATGCCGAACGAACACTTCTTCGCACAGTTGTCCATGGATGCGTTCAACCGGTTGGTGGAGACGGCCATGACGGGAGGGTTGAGTGATGATTCAACGGGAGTATGGGTGTGATGTCCTGCACATGGTCCAAACACGCACATAGTCCACCACAGGGTGCTCTCATGGAGTCGTCGGGGCATGTACCAGAGGGAGATCAGCAGGGGCAACCTGAGACTGCCGAGAAGCACTGAGAGAGGGTTTTCCGTTGTTGCCCATGTGAGCAGTAAAGCGCTGGTGTGGTGCTCCACACTCGTGGCCACCCCGGCCTTCTGGCTGCGTTCCGGTACTGCGGCTAGACAAAGGAGCTTTAAAAACCCAAACCCTGAACCCTAAACGAAGCGATTTGGGTTATGGAGCCTTAGTGGTGGTTCGTCCAACCGCTCAGGGAGATTGGGATTTGTTGTTTGGGTTTCTTGGCGGGGGACTTGTATTACAATAATAGTAACTGCGCTCAACCCTCATCCTGCAGGGGCAGATTTGGGGTGATACCTATTCTCCATGGTCCATGGTTGTTCCCCTTTTCGGTTTAAACTTAAACATTTGTATAAGTACTTAGGATCCTACAAGGTAACCCCCCAAAAGGAACTTCAATGGAGACTAAAGGTAGGGTTTGAGAAGGATGCCGGACCTTAACGGCCCACGCGCAAAAACAGTAGAGCAGAGACGTGTATCCCGCAGAGTCCTAAGTACCAATATGGGGGGTACTTACCCAAACTATGATGGTGAGTGATTCTTGCTTTGGAATGTCTGATTTCTAGTATATTATAGCTACTCAACCTACGTGGGGCCGAAGGGTATTTGGACCTGCAAGAGAGTTTACACGAGATTACGGGTCAAACCTTGAACAAACAATCAACAGAAGTTACACGGAGTACCAAAAAGTTTGTATGGAAGCACAGAGTTACAACTTTACAGTGAGTTAACGACACTCTATTTGTGAAAGAAGCTCCGCTCTAAACCCCTAAGCCCCAAACCCTAAACTCTATACACCCCTATCCCCGAACCCTAAACACTAAACCCTAAACCCTAAACCCTAAGCCCTTAACCGATCCCGTTGTGCTCGCTGAAAATGTATAAGCAAGAGGAGTTTCCACTCGCTCGGGCCGCGCTCGCCGGCCGTTTCGAAGCGAAGCGTCCCTTGAAAGCAGAAGTTGAGAGTTCAGGGTTTAGGGGTTAGGGTTTAGGACTGTGAGAGTTCAGGGTTTATGGGTTCAGGATTTAGGGGTCCAGGGGGCCTTAATGATTTGAACAGGGTTTTGGGCACCTTTTGGTATAGTCATGATAAGGAACCCTACGCAATACTGTTGGTAAATATTTGGGCTTCTGTATTAGTTTTTGCTCACACTGGAGGGAAATCCAAATCCCTGCATGAAGCACGTACAGTATTACCCTGAACCGCCGAAACCGAATTAAACCTTACGCCCCTAAACCCTAAACCCTCGAAGCCCTAAACCCATAAACCCTGAACTTTCAAATCCCTAAGCACTAAACACTCAACCCTAAAACTCTAAATCCTAAGCCCTAAACCCCTAACCTTGGACTGAAACTGTCAATCCGAAAACCCCCAAGCATCCCTAAACCGGTTCAGGGTTTAGGGTTTAGAGGAAGCCCCGAAACCTTGAAACCCTGAACCATTATTATAATTACCAATGTTTTCCCTCAATTAGGGTTCCTCAAACCCTGAACTGAAAATGTAAATCCGAAAAAACCCGAGCATTCCTAAACCATTCTACCCCAGAAACCCTGAAACCTTGAAACCCTGACCAGCCAAGGCTTAGATTCGGGAAAAGTCCGCCCATCGGACTTGCGTCAGGGCCTTCTGCAGAACCATTTGAGGCAGATGTCCAACTGTTAAGGGCCTTATAGATTTAGGGTTTAGGGTTCAGATTCTATTCTATAAGGCAGATGTCCAAAAGTTGGGTTGTTTAGTGTTTAGGGTCTTTTCGGTTATTGTTTAAGGGGTTTCCAGATTCTAGATGTCCAAGAAGAGGTTGTTCAAGAGTTCTATAAGGATTTCGGTCTCGAGTGTTGGGGTTATCGAAAATTCCCTAAAGGCTCCCTGTGCCAATATAGTATATACTTAAGCCCGAAAGCGCTTCCTACAGAGGTACTTCAAGGCCTCAGTACATACGTATTACTACGTACAGTAGAGGCCCACAAGTTGGAAACCCAATAGCCTCAATCCTTACGGGAAATGCATAGGGAATCCCAGCACTAATTGTCCTTAATCCGGTGGCCCACCGAAAAACCCTAAACCCTAAACCCCTTTGGGGTGTAGTACCTGGAGCCTTTGGTGTTTGGGGGCCCGAATTCCAGCGACCTTTTAGAGCTTCTCCGGTCTGGGATTCAGGGGAGAAGCGGTGTCTTTAGGGCTCGGGGTATGTGATATATATATATATATATATATATATTTGTTTTCAACATGCTCATGTGTTTTTAAGTTGTTGTTCCTATATAACTGTCTACACAGACGTGTATGTATTGCATATATATATATATATA